TGTATGTGTGCACCCACAAAGAGGTTTTCACATGCAAGACCAGACACAGATATGTAGGTGCACATACACACCTGCCCATTCACACATATACATGCTCACATACAGACATACACAAAGACACAAATGCTTCTCACACATGCAAATTCCCTCAGTATCATCTTCCAAATTCTGTCAATGAGATTGCCTCCTCTAAGAAGCCCTCCCTGATAGCTCTAGCTCATACTGGGAAGTGGCAGGCCTGAGCTCTATGCCTGGTTTCTGATGCCAATCAGGCAACATGACATAGGCTTTAGAGTGGAACAGGCTTGGTTTTGGATTCTGGTTCCCTTAAATCACAGGATGTTTGTCTTTGGGCCAGTGACTGTGCCTCCTGGTCCTGTCTTCCCTAGTCTCTGTCCTCTCGGTCCTGGAGGCCCACGTATGACTCTGAGAAGGATGAGGCTGGGCTGTGGGAAGGGGAGTCTGGTCATTGGAGAAGGTCAAGGTTATACATTGTCCTGGGTCCTGCCTGTGCCCCTGCCCCTCCCCAACCTAGCCCCCAGTTCTCCTAGGTGGGGGGCCCTGGCCTCCTGGGGCAGGGGACAGAACCCTGATCTGGATGTTCTAGGTCTAGGTGATCTTGAGCAAGTTGTTACCTTGCTCTGAATCTCAGTTTCCCTATCTCAAGAGTTTGAAAGGTGACACTTACCTGGGTGAGACTTAAGGGTCCATTCTTTTTTGAGCAGAAGGAGAATTTTTATGACTGCAGGTGATTTCAGAGAGACCAGGGTCCCTTGAAGAACCTGCGTTGTGTTCCCACACCCATCCCTGCCCCTTTAGCCAGAGCTTTTCCTTTCTTACTGATACATGGGCTCCTGAGTTACACACCGGATTCGGCGGCTCAAAAGAGTCTGAAAAACCCCAAGTATAAAACAATTTGATTGAAAGTAGTTTTGTGATAAGTTTATCAAATGGAATGTTGGTTGAAGCAAATAATTAGCTGAAATGATTAGTTTTTTACACATCAACACTTTGGGGCATATTTGGCGGGGGGAGTTCAGAGAAGTTTTAGCATCTCTTGGCAGTTTTCTTTCTTTATTCTGATTTTTAAAAATTTCTATTTGCATTTTCATTCCTAATTGGATTTTGGCCTCTTGTGTCTGCCCCATGCTGTTCCTAATAGAAAAGAATTGGAAACATTTAAAATGTGTGTGTATAGTCACATGCAAGATGGGGATATAGACCTATTGGCATGGAAGGATATTCTCAATAATGTTTGAGGGGAAACAGTACTTGACAAAATAAGTTTCATTCTACTTATTATTGACCAAGTAAGGAGGGGATGTGATATGTGTATACATAAAAAAAGGATTAGAAGGAAATCTACCAAAATGTTAGTAATAGTTGTCACAGAGGGAAAATGGGTCTTTTAAGGTTGCTTTGGCTTGTTTGTATTTTAGGTCAAAACAGAATAAAAGAAAAGGGCCTGAGATTCTTTTTATTTGTTTTCTATTAAAAAATTTCCACTCCAATGATAGACAATTATATCTGCTTGACTTGCTTGGCTATGTGTTCATAAATATTTAAATTTTCAGTTAGGTTGAACATTAATGTCCCCAATTACCAATTCACATTGTAAGGTTTTTAGTGTTGTGAGTAAGAAATGGGAGGTGGAGAGGCACCTGGCTGGCTCAGTCGGTAAAGCATGAGACTCTTGATTCTAGAGTTGTAAGTTCGAGCCCCATGTTAGGCTTATAGCTTACTTAAAAAAAAAAAAATCTAAAAAAAAGAAAAAAGAAAGAAGTTTGAGAGCACTGGGTTATTTCCAAATTTTCACTCGCAAAAATAATGTATTGCAGACAAAATTAGAATAAGAAAACTAAATTTCTGCAAGAGGGACTAAATGCTGAGAGATACATCAAAGTTTGCAAAACTTGCCCTATAGCACACTAATACTACCACTTTGTTTTCAACCGATTTCTCATTTTTCCCAAATTAGTTTTTGACTTACTGGGCCACTGTGCCTTCATAGGCCTTTTCGTGGGCCTTGTCTGGATGCTAAAAGTGGTTGGTTGGGAGGATCACATATTCTCCAACCCCAGTTCACAAATGAGGAAACAGAGGCCCAGGGGAGGATGGAGCTCCTTCTCCAGCCTTCTGCAAGCCACTCCCAGAATATGCTAGGTTTTCTCACAATCCCACTGGGCTTCAAATGCCTTCAAATAACCAACCCCCCCCGCCCCTCACTCACTTTGGAGGACTCATCTTCTCTGTCATCTCTTCCAGATGATTCTTGCCCCCCTCCAGGCTGGCTTAGCTGCTGCCTATATTCCATCCACCTTCTCTTGGCGTATCCTAAGTCACCTGTTGTTTATCCATCTCTCCCAAGAGACAGACAGGACTTTGTCTTCTCTACATCTGGGTCTCTAGCACCTCGCCCAGTAAATGAGCCCGGGGCTTGATCCCTGACTCCAGCCAACATGGATCCCAAATTCCTCCCTCACCAACTTGGTCCCAGCCCAATCCAAGTCTGCCCAAGCTCTGACCTCATCCAAGACCCCAGCTTCACTTTTGACTCTTACGTCACCCTGACCCTGACAGTACACACCGGAAAGGAATAAAGGCAGATGCCTTCCATGTCCAGGGGTATATTTCTCCCTTCCTGAAAGAAGCACTAATTATCCTGAGCCCACCCGAATCTGCAGAGTGGAGTGAGGGGCAGAGCCTCAGCCGTGGTGGGCAGCAGTGGAAGAGTTTGCTCCTTAAGGACAGCTTCTGACTGGGAAGCCCTCTGATTGCAGCCTACCCCTGCCTCTCCCTGCTGAGTGACCTGCAGGGCAATTTGGGGTAGGGACCTGGACAATGCCCGGTCAGACCTGGCTTGGTCTATTGGCACCCTCTAGAGGACAGTTCTATTAACTGGAGCTAGCTTCGGGCCACCAAATCCTATATGGTTTCCCCCCCAACTGAGGGGCTGCCTGGCCTCAGATGCTCCCGGGACTTGCTGCCCACCGCCCACCACTCTGCCTGGCAGGTCTCCTCATAGTCTGCAGACCAGCAACCACTCCCTGTGTCTCAGCACCGAGTCACCTGCTCAAACACCACATTGCCCCATCCTTGGAGGCCCAGTAACGCCCTGGCTCCAGAAGTCCTCTCAGATGGCAGCTGATCCCCTAGCTCACTGCGGACCCCACCTTAGTCACTAAGTTTCTGCAGCCCTGGCCTGGTGCCCCACACTCTGCTCCAGCTTTGGCTCCTTCACAGAGCTCTTGCTTACTAGGGAGGCATTTTCCTGATGATGGGGCATAGGTTTCCCCTTCCCCTGCTCAGATGGGAGCTCCCAGAGGAGGAGGCCCAGGCTTCTTCTCTTCGCCAGAGACTAGGGACTCCAAAGGACCAGGCTTGGATTTCTATCTCCCCTCTCAGACCGGGGTTTCCCTGCCGACATGGCTTATGTGTCCTCCTTCCCCCGAGACTGGGAGGGGACTGAATTTCCCTTTCCACCTTCAGAGTGGGGGTTTCCTGAGGACTGAACCAGGGTCTTCTCCCCAACCCCTCCACTGGCTGTTGATCTCCAGATCTTTCCATCTCCAGTCCCCATTCTGCACAGCTCTTCCCACAGCCAGGGCCTCAGGAGCCATCTGAGGCCCTGGGAGGGCTTCCTCTGGCTTTGGGCTGGACACCTGGCTCGGAGGACAGGCCCTTCCTCTGGGACCCACCCTGAGCTCTACCTCTGACCTCACAAGGGCCGCCTTAGAACCTGGTCTCCGTGGCGCCGCTGGTCGGAGAAGGGATGCTATTTTAGGCAGTGTGTCTGGACTTGGCCCAAGTGGCACGGGCCAAACCCCTGCCCCACTGACCTCTCCCCTGGAGGAGCAGAGCAAAGCAGCGTGTGGGGCCACCCCAAGGGGGGTCGAGAGGTGGGCTCTAGACTGGGGACACAGGGACAGTGGAGTCCCAGCGGGGGGTGCCGCCAGAGCCTGGGACAGTCACGGAGGAACAAGATCAAGAGCTGCTATAACTGAGAAGCCCCCAAGGTGGACGCTGAGGAACATAAGGCACTTCAGTAGAGTGAGTTGGACTCCAGGCAGGGCTGGGACAGGGGACCTCCCCTGCGACCCAGGCCTCAGATTGCTACTTCCTGGGGACCATATGGAGGGGTGGAGAGATGACAACAGGACTAGCTGGGGAAGGAACCCCAGCTGGGAGCTGAAAGCCAGGATGTCTGTTCTGGTTTAGTCCTGAGTTGCTGTGTGACACAGGCATGTCCCACACTCTCTCTGGGCTTTAGTTCCCTCACCTGTAATTTGACTGCTGGGAGGAAGAGCAGTGCCACCGAGGCTCGGAGGGTGTGTTGGGCTGGCCTGTCAGGAGAGCGCTGGCCAGGGGACGAGGAGAGCACGCAGACCAGACCCTGGACCAAAGCAGAAGGCATGCAGATCAGAGAGATGGGTTGATTGCTGGCTTAGCTGGAATGATTTTTCCCCTGGGAGTTCCCTCCTGAGAAGCAGGGGCTGGGGGCTGCAGGGTCCCGCAGGCAGGGCTAGGGATGTGAACTTGTGCTGCAGCTACAGGGAATCTGGCTAAAGAAGTCCCAGGGTCCCGGGACTTACAGGGTGGGGAAACTCAAGGGTTACCTCTGTGTGGTCATTTGCGTGGACAATAGGAATACACCGGGGAATTTTCAGGAAAGGTAAGAGGGTAGACTTTGTTCTGAGGTGGAACTATGGACTAAATGAATTCTCAGGACCTCACTGTGTGTGTGTGTGTGTGTGTGTGTGTGTGTGTGCGCGCGCGCGCATGCACGCAAGGAAAAGGCCCTGGAAAATCAGAATTTAAGTCAGCAGCAAGAGGGCTTGAGGTTATACTAAAGGCAGTAATACCCACATATGTGAGGGTGGAGCCACTGAGGGGAGGCTGTGGGCATCTCCACTGTCCAAAGCTGGGCTGCAACCTGGGGAAGTCAGGAGGACCTGTGAAGGGCCTGGTCCGGGGGTCCTGAGGCCAGCAAGAGTAGAGGGGGTGGGACTCCAGGGCCTTTCCCCATTGGCTGAAGCACATCCACACCCCTCCTTGCCAGCTTGGCTGGGTTGAGAGACTGGAACCGGCAGGACCTGTCCCTGTGGCTTCTCCCCCGGGGAGGCTGAGGTCTGATGAGAATGTGGGGCCAAGTTCTGTGCCCCCCAGCCCTAATGACCTCTCTTTGGCTCTGCAGCATCTAAAAATCTCAAAGACAGAACATGGTTCAATCAGATAAGAAGAGGCGGTAAGTACCCTACCCATTCTCCTCCAGCCTCCCATCCCCCACCCCCAGCACACCCCTGTGCCCTTCCTTCCCTACTCTCAGCCTCTCCCTCATGGCAGCTGACCCTCCCAAACCCCCCTCCTTCCCATCCTCCACTGGGTCAGGAGGCCCAGAACAAGGGCCTCTCCCACCTGGGCCCTCGGCTGGGCCCTGGGGTGAGGGCCGAAGGGTTGGTGAGTCGGGGGTTCCAGCTGCCTTTATGTAGGTGGTCACGCTCAACTGAACTGAACTCACTGCCTCTCACCGTTACGGGCTCAGGTCTCTCTGGGATACAATAAAAGCCAAAGTCCTTGCAACAGCCCAGGCCCTGCCTATCTGGTCCCAGTTTCCTCTCTGACCTTTCCCCATGCCATCCCTGCTCTCTCCCACTCTAGTCACACTGACCTCCTTTCCTTTCCCTCAGACATGCTCAGAATCCTTCAGTGATTTTCCCTCTGCCAGAAATGTTCTTCCCTCACCTCCTCATGTCTGTCACCTTCTCATTGAGGCTTACCCCAACTGCTTTACTTAAAATCATATCCCACCCCCTTTTCCTTGCTCTGTTTTCCCCCATAGGCCATACTACCTTCTTTCTTTCTTTTTCTTTTTAAGATTTTTAAAAAATTTATTTATGAGGGGCGCCTGGGTGGCTCAGTTGGTTAAGCGACTGCTTTCGGCTCAGGACATGATCCCAGGGTCCTGGGATCGAGTCCCACATCGGGCTCC